AGTGGTTGGGGGTCACCACAACATGGGGAACTGTATTATGGGGTCGCGGCATTAGAAAGGTTGAGAACCACTGCTCTAGAAAGAGTGCAGAGAAGAGCAACAAGATGATTAGGGGACTGGAGGCTAAAACATATAAGGAACGTTGCTGGAATTGGGTATGTCTAGTTTAACGAAGAGAAGGACGGGGGGACATGATAGCAGTCTTCCAATATCTCAGGGGCTGCCCCAAAGAAGAGGGAGTCAAGCTATTCTCCAAAGCATCTGAAGGCAGGACAAGAAGCAATGGATGGAAACTAATCAAGGAGAGAAGCAACCTAGAACTAAGGAGAAACTTCCTGACAATGAGAACAATTAACCAGTGGAACCACCTGCCTCCAGAAGCGGTGAATGCTCCAACACAGGAAGTTTTTAAGAAGAGACTGGATAGCTATTTGTCCGAAATGATATCGGGTTTCCTGCCTGGGCAGGGGGTTGGACTAGATGACCTCCAAGGTCCCTTTCAACATCATCATTATTATGACACTTTTTTCAGTAAATGACTGGTCATTAAATGAGGACTGAGGACTATCTATATCACTGGTGGCGAACCAATGGCACGGATGCCAGAGGCGGCACTCAGAGCCCTCTCTGTGGCATGCGCACCGTCGCCCCAGTCCTAGGCCTTCAGCTGGGTTTTATAAAACCTTTTCGCTTTAGGCCTCCACCATTGTGTGCAAAAAAAAAAAAAAAAAGGTTCAATCAGTCAATTTCAACTTCTCGCGGGAAAAAAAAGATCTTGCAAAGTTGGAATTGATTGAACTTTTTAGTCCCACCCAGTCTGCCTTTACCACCGCAGCCACGCTCACCCAATGGGCCACACCCAACCGGCACCTGACGATACATAAGTGGATTTTGGGTTGCAGTTTGGGCACTCAGTCTCTAAAAGGTTCGGCATCACTGATCTATATGGATAAACACTTGGAATCCTGCATCTAGTTTTGGTCACCACGATTATAAAAAAAGATGTTGAGACTCTAGAAAGAGTGCAGAGAACAGCAACAAAGATGATCAGGGGACTGGAGGCTAAAGCATATAAAGAACGGTTGCTGGAATTGGGTATGTCTACTTTAACGAAGAGAAGGACGAGGGGGGACATGATAGCAGTCTTCCAATATCTCAGGGGCTGCCCCAAAGGAGAGGGAGTCAAGCTATTCTCCAAAGCAGAGGTCCCCAACCTTTTGGGCAGCAGGGACCAGTTCCATGGAGAGAGGTTTTTCCGCAGATTGGAGGATGCGCGGTTTTGTGTGCTGCCTGCATCTCGCGGATGGGGCTATGCTTGTTTATGTGGCCCGGTTGCTGGCACACCACAGCCCGGTACTGGTCCACGGACCGAGGGTTGGGGACCCCTGCTCCAAAGCACCTGACAGCAGGCTAAGAAGGAACAGATGGAAACTAACCAAGGAGAGAAGCAACCTAGAACTAAGGAGAAACTTCCTGACAGTTAGAACAATTAATCAGTGGAACAACCTGCCTCCAGAAGTTTTGGGTGCTCCAACAGTGGAAGTTTTTAAGAAGAGACTGGACAGCCATTTGTCTGAAATGGTGTAGGGTTTCCTGCCTGAGCAGGGGGTTGGACTAGATGACCACCAAGCTCCCTTCTGACTCTGTCATTCTGTTATTTCTTTGACTTCTGCAGGACATCAGGTTGTAAAACTGCCAAGGCAAAAAGCTGTGTGGTGCCTGTTTTTCTCATCTAACATACAGACTCTTTGCACAAGAGTGGACACAGCCCCTACTTGCCATCGTATTTGGCACAGCAGCTCTTCTTGCTCCACTGAGAATTTAATGGGAGGGGGATTGAAAGCAATCTAAGACTTTCCCCGTCGATTTTTGTGCAACCCATTTCTATTATCGATTTCCCGTTTAGGTTTTCTTCACGGTCATCAAGAATCCGAGCAGCGTTAAGCTGCCTTTAAAGATGGTTTGTTGAGCAAGGCAGAGTAGACCAAGCCACATGTAATCCAAAGGAGCAAGCCAGAACACACACACACACACACACACACACGGCTGTGTTTCACAAATCCAGCAGGCTCAGCCCAAACTGAGCATTCCCATATCCAGTTGGCATGGGTGTGAATCCAACACAGTTGTGTGCGTTTTTAAAGACTCGGTAAGAGAGCTGTACAAGAATACAACTAACTACCTTACAGGTATGCAATCCATCAGTCAATGAATCCGAATGCAGTAATCTAATTAATCTAATTCAACTATCCTTGAATTATGACAGCGATTGGAACCAGAATTCCTGTTACTAACCAAGGCAATAGTTAAGTGAGTCACGCCCAATTTTATTATCTTTTTTTTTTTGCCCTGGTTCTTAAACAAATCACTGCAGTTGTTAAATGAATCAGGCGGATCCAATTATTTTTATTGATTTTGCTTGTCAGAAAATGGGTGGAATGGTTGCCAACGGCGATTACCTGACAACAGGATGCTGCAACTGTGGTACGTAAACACAAGCCGGTTACCAAATGAACCAGGCAAGCAAAAAGCCACGGAAGTCACATCTTCCATTTGCTTACAGTCAACCGTGGTGGGTTTTTGTGTGGCTTAGCCTGTGTAAATAAAACCATCTTCCAATACCTTGTGCGCATTCAGAAAAGCAATTTGTTCCAAAACCTGCAGAAACGTGTTGTGTAAACGTAGCCACTAGGCCAGTGGTTCTCAACCTGTGGGTTGGGACCCCATTTGGGGTCGAACGACCATTTCACGGGGGTCGCCAAACAACGCAGTCCGCCATTTTTTCCCCCTTTTCCTTAGCTGTGCTACTCCCTTTTATTCTATTGGCTTTTGAAAGCCAATAGAATAGACTCTCTTGAATAGAGTCTAATTCTATTGGCTTTCAAAAGCCAATAGGAATTGTCCAGGCTGTCTCTGCCCTGCTGAGCCCGCCAAAAGTCCCATTCTGCAAACGGTGCCGCACCAGTTGAGTAGTCCTCGACTTACGACTGATTGAGTAGTCCTCAACTTACGACCGGTTGGGGGTCGCGGCATTAAAAAGGTTGAGAACCACTGCACTAGGCAGAATAAATCCTGAAGGTTTGGTCAGGTCCAAAACAAATATAACCTCCTTGGTGAAAATGGGATTCCAATGCCATTTAGATTGTTTCAGTCCAGTTTAGCCTTTATCTTTAGTGCATTGAACCCAAGAGTCTCTTAACACCGAGGTCCCCAACCTTTTGGGCACCAGGGATCGGTTCGGTGGAGAAAGGGTTTTCCACGGACCAGAGAGTGCGTGGTTTTGTGTGCTGCCTGCATCCCGCGGATGGGGCTTTGCTTGTTTGTGCGGACCAATTCCTGCCATGCTGCGGCCCAGTACCGGTCCATGGACTTGGGTTTGGGGACCCCTGTCTTAACACATCAGTTTTTACCCCATTACTGGCTGGGTATTCCTCCCCAGTGCACCGGATTTACGGACACACCATCCGGAGTTGCTCAAAATGCAGCTTCCCCAGTGGGATCTAAGTTCCTGCAAATATACTTAATAGGGACCAGTTTTGGGCTGGGACTGCAGTACTGGTTCCTGGCAGCGAATCCTGTTAAAATTAACTGGAATTAATTGGGCAGGGCTGCACATCCGATCAGCTGTCCCATTACTCTAATTAGCTGCAAGAGATTTCAGAACACGAGGACGCTGCCTGCTCGAGCGAATATCATTCTTCACTTTTTCCCCCCCTGCAAGATCATTCTCATTTCAGTTTGCACGTTTTGTTCCCTCTCTAGTTTAGGGAAAGCCGTAGTATTTCCCGGCATGCCGAAATTTACACGCCAGGGCTACGGGCAAGGCGGGTGCTGTTTTGTGTAAGTCGGTTCAACGCCGGATCAAAGGAAGCAACTCTAGCTTAAAACGACAGTCACCTTCACGGCGATCGGAGGCTCCGCTAAACAGGGAATCCTGCAGGTTTTTTTTTTTTGCTCCTTTGGGAAAAAAAAAGGGGGGGAGGTTTCGGTTCTGCAAAGCAACAGACCGGTAAATCTCTCCCCGTTAATCCTTCCGCCGAATTAGACAAGGGCAATCTTGGCTCCCTTTCGGAGAAACCGGATCAGGCGCCGGTTTGAGTCTCGATGCACCTTGCAGGGCAATTGAAAATAATCGCAAGGTGGGGAGAGGTTTTCTCGTGCATTTTGTAAAACCCGCTGTTTCGAGGGGTGCGAAAGGGCGCACCGTCACCCCCCCCACACACCAAATTCTCCCCCCCCCCGCTTTGAGGCGACCCCACGAACTCCAGAGAAGTCCAGACCGAGCACAGAGGGAGGCCGAGGGTGCCTTTCCTCCAACATGGGGAGGGGGCGTCGAGATGGAAAAGCCCACCCATCCACCTGAACCGAAGGGGGAAAACTGGCCGCCACACCTGCTCACAACAAAGCCCACTCACAAAGATTGCGCCGCGTCTCCAAAGCCCGTTTCCCCACCTTGAGCGGCCCCCTCCCCAGATTTGTTGGGCTATATAGGTTTTTCATCACCCCCGCCTGGAGGTCGGGGAGCATAGGGAGGGGAGTCCAGAGGATCCCGCTGATTAGGTTGGAGTAGTCTAGTCTGCGGTCTCCTCCTCCTCCTTCATCCTCCTCCTCCTCCTCCTCTTTACACACACACACACACACACAAACACATCTGGCACCCCCTCCCCAGCCCGGCCTTTTGTTCCGTCTCTTTTCGTCGTGGTTCCGCCACTTCCCTCCGCCTCGCAGCGCTGAAACCACCTAAGATGCGCGCTGCAACTTGCAGGCGATCGAAAAGCGCCGCTTCAGCAGACGGTTCGCTTGGAAACGGGTCCCCACGGCCGCGGATCGGGGATCTCAAGTCGTTTCTCCCCCCACCCACCCCCCGCCATCCCGGTTACACGCGCGACCCTCTCCTTTTGACCCAGGCGGGCGGGAGTAATCCCGGGTTGCAGCCCCGAAAAGCAGCAGGCAGAGCCCGGGACGCATCCCCACGACCCTCCCGGCACACGCCTCCTTACCCTCCATCTCCTTGCCGCCGTCGCCGCAGTTCATGCTTAGCCCGCGCGCATCGCCTCCCTTCGCCCGCGTCCGGCAAAGGGCTGGCCGGCTGGCGAGCGGAATCCGGCGGAGCGAGCAAGCGGACGGAGAAAGGGCGGCTGGCGGTGTCTTTCCGACGACCGCCCGGCGCCCCAGACGTCCGTAGGGGGCGGGGCAGGAGGGGGCGGGGGCGGCCACTCGCCTCGGCGGAGTTGGGCGGGCTAGGACCGAACCAGGCGCCCTCCGCCGCCGCCGCCTCCCGGCTTCCAGCCCTTAAGCCTCCCGCTGGAGAGGCCGCCTCGCCGCCGCCGCCGCCCGCATCGCCGCAAGGTCACCCCGCAGCCTCGGCTTTGTTTCGGCCCCCGCCGCCGCATCCGAGCGGCCAGCAAGGCGCGTTCGCCGCCGCCGCCTCTCCTACCCGCCCTACGCCGAGCTGGGAAGGGCCGCCGCCTCCGCCGCCTTCTCCCGCGGCCCCTAGCGGAGCAAAGGCCGGACCCGGCAGGCTGGGCGCCGCCTTGCAGCTCTGCTCCAGCGGGAGACGCCCGGGCGGTGCCCGGGCCGGGCAAGGCGAGCGGAGAGCGGCGTTCCCCCCCAACCCGAGCGGGCCTGCAACCTGCGCCTGGGGAAGGAGGAGAAGGGAGGGAGGCAGGCGGGCAGGGCTGGCCCACCGCCTGGCCGCTTCTCTCTCCGCGGCAGTTCCCAGCAGATGCGGCCCGGCAAGGCGCCCCCTCCCCGGGCGCCGGAGCCTAGTCGCCGCTCTGCCCTTCGCCTCCCCTTCTCGCCCGGGCTGGTTTCGGCGATCGGCCGCGTCTCCGCCCTTCCGCCTTCCGGGAGGCGAGCCTGGGTCGCGTTGCGCCGCGGCCGCCTTCGGGGATCGCGCTCTGCGGGCGTCCTGGCCAGGCGCTGGGGCAGAGGGGGGGGGGTGGCTCTCTGGGTCAGCCGGGGGTCCTCTTGACTCGCGGGTAAGCCTCCGCCCGCTGCTTCGGCCAGGTGGAGAGCTGCTGGTTTCGGGTGTCGTGGGAATCCGCCCTTTCTTAGCCTGGGTTCATTAGGCCAGATGACAGGAAGAGGGGCGTTGGGGGTTTGTGTGAGCCCATTTGGCCGATAGGGGTTACCTCTGTAAAGAGGGGTATCCTAGAACCCTTAATCCCCAGCCAGCACTGGAACTCAAGTCCCAGATGTCTGAAGGGCAAAAGGCTTCTATAAAGAGAGAAATAAATTGTAGTTCTAAGAACAGGGCAGTACATTGGTTGTTGTTGTTTTTTCACGGTTAGATCCATTTTTTATTTTTTTTCCTCGTCTTTTTCTTTGTTCTCATTGCTTCCTCCCCCCTTTTCTTAACTTTTCGGGCAAGATTTCCAGGTGGCCTCTTGTCCAAATACTAACCCTGGAATGTCCAAGGTGAACTAGGTGCTGCCACCTAGCTTCAGATACAGAGAGATCTCTAGTGTTAACAAAACAGGCCCAAGTACTGTAGTAGTGCAGTGTTTCTTAACCTTGCCCGCTTTAAAAAGTGTGGACTTCAATTCCCAGAATTCCCCAGCCAGCAATGCTCACAGAAGAATGTAACTTTAAAGCAGCGGTCTTCCAACTTGGCCCTTTTATGAGTTGTGGACTTCAACTCCCAGAATTCCTCAGCCAGTTGAAGTCCACAAGTCTTAAAGTGGTCAGGTTTCAAGACCCCTACGCTAGAAGATGACCATCATAGAATCCTAGAGCTAGTAGGGACCTCAGAGGTCTTCTAGTCCAACCCCCTGCCCAGGGCAAGAGACCGTATATCAGGGGTCTTCAAACTTGGCCCTTTTATGACTTGTGGACATCAACTACCAGAATTCCCCAGCCAGCGTGCCTGGCTGAGGAATTCTGGGAGTTGAAGTCCACAAGTCATAAAAGGGCCAAGTTTGAAGACCCCTGGTCTAGTGGTTAGAGAGCCAGTTTGGTTTAGTAATAAAGGTATCATGCCAGAAACTGGGAGACCGTGAGTTCAAATCCTCCCCTAAGTTAGGCATGAAAGCCGGGTGGGGGGAGTTTGGGCCAGTCACTGACTCTCCGCTCAACCTACCTCACAGGGTTGTTGTGAGGAGAAGGAGGACGGACAATATTAGATACATTGGCTGCCTTGAATTACTTACCAAAATAATAAAGGCGGGATACATAGTAAGTCATTAAGTAAGTAAATTAAAACGCAGGTAAATAAATACATGAAATGCAGCTGCTTTTTTTAAGCCATCCCAAGCTGGTGCTGCGTTCGTGTCTTGACATGCTTCAAATCACTTTTGGAAAAGAGAAGCACTGAGCAGGCCTACTTGTAAATATCACCACTTGTCTGGAGCAAAGTATACCTCTAGCTTTGTTGTTCTTTCTGTCTCAGGTTGTGATTTGTGGTTCGCGAAGCTCACCTTCCGTGTATTTTTTTTTTTAATCCCTATGAAGTTGTTGACTAGCTGACTCGTTCCTCCCGTCGAATTTCTCCTGTTCCAACAGGTCATTTTCTACCATTGCTCTGTGGCAGAGGTGTCTCAACGCTGACAGCTCGAAGAGGTGTGGGGCTTCAGATTGCCAAGGTTGAGAAACTGCTTTCGGGTTGTGATGATGACACAACACAGGAGGATCCTAACGCTGTCAAAAAGCCAAACTTCCAAATTGAGATTCCTTTCCCTTCCAGTTTATTAGTAGACGTTCATGGCTCAGGGAGGAATTTGTAGACTGGGTAGGGAAACTCAGGAGGATTGCAAATCACACCTACACACATACGGATAGTCCTCGACTTACGATCACAACAGGGATCGGAATTTCTATTGCTAAGCAAGGTGGGTTTTTTTTAGCGAGTCACGCCCAATTTTATAAACCTTTTTTTTTTTGCCAGGGATGTTAAGCAAATCCCTGTGGTTGTTAAGTGAATCAGATGGTCATTAACTAGTCAAAGAGAGAAGCAACCTAGAACTAAGGAGACATGATAGCAGTCTTCCAGTGTCTCAGGGGCTACCCCAAAGAAGAGGGAGTCAAGCTGTTCTCCAAAGCGCCTGAAGGCAGGACAAGAAGCAATGGGTGGAAACTAATCAAGGAGAGAAGCAACCTAGAACTAAGGAGAAACTTCCTGACAGCTAGAAGAATTAGTGGAACAACCTGCCTCCAGAAGCGGTGAATGCTCCAACACTGGAAGTTTTTAAGAAGAGACTGGGCAGCCATTTGTCTGAAATGGTATAGGGCAGTAATGGCGAACCTTTTAGAGACTGAGTGCCCAAACTGCAACCCAAAACCCACTTATGTATCGTCGGGTACCGGGTGGGTGTGGCCCATTGGGTGGCCGTAGCCAATTGGGTGGGCGTGGTTGCAGTGGTAACAGCAGACTGGGTGGGACTAAAAAGTTCAATCAATTCCAACTTCGCGAGATCTTTTTTTTCCCTGTGAGAAATTGACTGATTGAACCCTTTTTTTTTGCACACGGCGGTGGAGGCCTAAAGCAAAAAGGTTTTATAAAACCCAGCTGAAGGCCTAAGACTGGGGTGATGGCGCGTGTGCCCACAGAGAGGGCTCTGTGTGTCACCTGTGGCACGCGTGCCATAGGTTCGCCACCACGGATATAGGGTTTCCTGCCTGAGCAGGGGGTTGGACTAGATGACCTCCAAGGTCCCTTTAAACCTTCTTCTTCTTCTTCTTCTTCTTCTTCTTCTTCTTCTTCTTCTTCTTCTTCTTCTTCTTCTTCTTCTTCTTCTTCTTCTTCTTCTTCTTCTCCTCCTCCTCATTATTATTATTATTATTTAGACGTGAACCTCAGTCAGCTGAACATTCAAATTGACTGGCACTGATGGTTGAGACGGGTTGCTACCAGCATCCTAGATGTCAACCAGGTACCTCCTTAAAATATAAGATGTTCTGAGTAGCGCAGTTTTTTGTAGCATTGCTGGAGTTATTGCAGGAAGCTGTAGTTATTTTACAAAGTTTTTGGACATAGTTTCCAGTGCCCCGATGACATTGGGTATTACTGTTACTTACTACTACTACTACTACTACTACTACTACTACTACTACTACTATTATTATTATTATTATTATTATTATTTGAATCCGGCTTTCCTCAAAAAGCAGGTAGGAATGTCGCAGATGGTAATCACCTGACCCCAGGATGCTGCAATTGTAAATCATTGCCAGTGGCCAAGTGCCTCAATTTTGATCATGTAACCATGAGGGTAGTGCAACATTGGTACGTGTGAGGACCAGTTAGAAGTCATTTTTTTTCCAGTGCTTTTGTAACTTTGAGCAGTGGCTCAACCAATGGGTGCATGTTTAGGAATACCTCTGCACACTTGTAAAACTGCAGTGCAGTCGCAAGGCTGCAAGTCGCAAGTGTCTTAAGTGAGAATCATATTTCCTTCCTTGAATTTGGGGCTTCACTTCTCTAGCATCCAATTTCCAGATTTTGCCTGTAGAAATGCCCAGCCTTTGAAATTCTGATGGTGAGTCTCCTCTTAATCTATCCTAGATTGAATATCCCTCAACCTTACCGAGTGCCCCCCCCCAAACCTCACTTGCTATTCTAAGAAAAGTAAATTAACTCTCCACCCACTTTCTCCGCAGGTGCACAGCCCGGGTTTTTATGCACAAGCACAACCTGCATTTAGACAGCGCGGTTAAAGGGGGGATTTAGAGTGGGGGGGGGTTGCTTTGTGGCAAACCGTTTTAAACCTATACACACGTTGGACCGAAACGTTTGAATTCTCAGCCAGTCTGGCTGGAAGGAGGGATGTCTGAACATCTGGCAAGACTTCAGCTGGAAAGCAGCATAAGTAGAAATACAGAGGTTGAATTTGGGAGATGTTCCCCTTGTGGGTGTGTTCTGTCTAGCAGAAGCTGTCTGTTTCCAGCAGTGTGATCTTTGGGGGACCCCGGAGGTACACAAAAAGGGTGTGGGCTGCTTGGGGTATTTTAGCCTCCATTTCACTTGCTCCTGGGGAGGAAAGCTATGGCAAATCTAGACAGCATACTAAAAAGCAGAGACGTCACCCTGCCAACAAAAGTGCGTATAGTCCAGGCCATGGTTTCCCCAGCTGCAATGTATGGATGTGAAAGTTGGACCATAAGAAAGGCTGAGCGCCAAAGAATTGAAGCCTTTGAACTCTGGTGCTGGAGAAGACTCCTGCGAGTCCCCTGGACTGC